TTTTGTTGCTCAGGGCTGAACTGTGTGATCCTGGGTCATTTGCTTACAGACGTTTCAAAACCAAACTAGGTAACAATATCGATGCTAGAAGGGAGCAGGATTTGCTCTTTTTATATACTAGTGGCTTGACCTGTCAGTCTTGGTGGGAGTGTTCTTGGGAATTCTTTGATTAGGCTGTTTACTGTTAGCTTGTTTTTCTGAGTTGGTAGTTGCTTGATTGAGGTATTATTGACTTCTTGATTGTTGGTCTAGTGTTAATCATGGTGTTAAATATTAAAGGTGGTACTACAAGAATAGCTTAACAGAGGAAGCAACTTTCCATAATGAAAACAAAGCAGCAAATCCTATGGACAATAACAACCAGAAAACAGACACATGAGCAATATTATTCTATAATGCCAGAACTCAGAAACATCTTTCAGTTACCCTCAAAAGAAACATTCCAAGGCTTCAGAGGAATACAGAACTACAAAATGAGACAAGGCAGTACACAGAAGGAATGTTGTGTCCAGTAAAAAGACATTCATTAGATTTGGTGATTTACAGATTGAAAAAAGATCTCCTGAATGAGCCCATCAGCTTGTGAATATCAGCAGTGAGTGTGAGAGAATGTCCAATGCTTACCATGTTCTTTTATAATTACAACCTTCTGCTAAATCAGAACAAGCAATACTGCAAAGAACAGTTACACCATCCATGATGAACTCTGAAGCTTCAAGAAGAAAGCTCAAGAACCTGATGGTTCAAATGGTCTCTTTCAGCCATGGAAGAAGACCAAAAAGGAAAAGAGAGAAGTTGTAAGCCAGGAATGGGAAACCATGGCTCTTTTATGACTTGTGCACTTCAACTCCCAGAATTCCTGGCTCAGTCCACAAATCATAAAAGGCTATCCAAATGATGTTAACAAGATTTGATTTCTGGGACCATAACATGAATTTAGTGATTGATGCAGGGGTGAAAACTAAAATTTTTCCCTACCGGTTCTGTGGGCGTGGCTTGGTGGGGGGAGGGGTCCTGTGACTGAGTGGGTGTGGCCAACTCGATGTCACTCACAGCCAGGCCCACTCAGTCACAAGACCCCCTTCCACCAAGCCATGCCCACAGAACCCAGTAGGAAAACTTTTTAAATTTCTTTCTCCCGCGGCTCTGCCCACCTGCCCCATTCCCCGGATTCCTACTGCTCACCTTTCTCCCGCAGCTTGCTGTCAGGGAAGGCAAGTGCCTGAAAGGTACCAGAGTCGCTCACTCTCCTTCTTGAATGAGCCACTCTGGTCCACGCGCTGGCTGCGCAAGCGCAGTTTATTTAATTCAGCGGCAGATTGGATGTGCGCTTGCGCAGCCGGCGCATGTATCAAAGCGGAGAGTGAGTGACTCCGGTACCTTTCAGACTCTTGCCTTCCCTGACAGCCAGCTGCGGGAGAAAGGTGAGCAGTAGGAGTCAGAGAATGTACCATTCCTCAACTCCGGCCTTGCCGCAGAGCCACTGCCTGCTCGCCCTTCGCCACGCGGCTCCGCCCACCCATCCCATTCCACGGACTCGGGGAATGCACCATTTCCGGACTCCTACTGCTCACCTTTCTCCCACGGCTGGCTGTCAGGGAAGGCAAGCACCCGAAAGGTACCGGAGTCGCTCACTCTCCTTCTTGAATGAGCCACTCTGGTCCACGCGCCGGCTGCGCAAGCGCACACCCAACCTGCCGCTGAATTAAATAAACAATGTGCGCTTGAGGTGAGCAGTAGGAGTCCAGGGAATGGGGCGGTGGGGGGGTGGGCGGAGCCTCCAGCTGCCATTGCTACCAGTTCTCCAAACCACCGGCCATCATCGCTACCTACTCACCCGAGCTGGTCTGAACCGGGAGCATTTCACCCCTGGATTGATGGATTGCAAACATAGGATGGGTTGCACCCAGGGGTGAAATGCTCCCGGTTCGGACCAGCTCAGGCGAGCAGGTAGCAATGGCGACGGGCAGTTCGAAGAACCGGTAGCAAAAATCCCTGCCCCTGCCATGCCCAGTTGAACCGCGCAATCACCGGAGCCTTTTTTTTTTTCTTTTAAGTGGCTCTGACCAGCCAAGCTCTGACGATCCCAGCTGAGTTGCCTGCTAATCAGGCAACTCAGCTTGGATCACCAGAGCCATGTAAAAGAAAAAAACTTTTTTCCTTTTAAATGGCTCTGACGATCCCTCCCCCTCCCCCCCCTCAGCTTGCTTACCTTAGCTGCTGGTCGCAACGCCTTGCTGTAATCCCTGCAATCGATTGCATGAGCAAGCAACTGAATCTCCCTGCCTGCAATCAAGCAGGCAGGGAGTTGTGGACTTCAACTCCCAGAATTCCTCAGCCAGCAAAGCAAAGCTGGCTGAGGAATTCTGGGAGTTGAAGTCTACAGGTCTTAAAGTTGCCAAGGTTGGAGACCCCTGTTCTATTGGGTAAGTTTTTTCCCCCTTTGGGAGCTTTAAAAAAATAGTTAATTGGGGTTTTTTTTTAGTTGTTCTTTTTTTAGACCTAGCCATTTAAAGTTTATGAAGTTTTAAATTTAGCTGCTTTTATATAAAAATAAAAATAAATTAAAATAAAATATTTGTGCAGCTTTCTGAGATTTAATGTGTTTCTGTAGTGTTTCACTCTAACTACACAAACACACAAAATCTCACAAAGCTGTATGTGGAATTTTGTGTGTGTGAAGTGTGAAAGTTGGTTTTTTGGACTTTTTGTGGCTGTGTGAGGTTCCTGCTTGTTGCAGGGGCCATTTTGGGTCTAGCACAGCTGCTTTTATATTGTGCGTGAGCCAGTTGTGTTGTGTTTTGTAGGTTAAGAAAGGGCAAAGAAGTGACATTGACTTGGCCACGCCCACCTGACTAACAAGCCACGCCCTCCCAGTCACCTTACCACCAAGCCACGCCCACTAATTAAGCCACGCCCACAGAACCTGCAGCAAAAAAAATTAGATTTCACCCCTGGTTGCACCTCAAAGACAAACAAGCATACATACATACACACACATACAATACATACATACATACATAAACTCCTAAAGAAACATCACAGATAATTCAGTAATGCAACTTATTACCACTGGATATTATTTCAGAAATAACATTGGCTAATTAACAACACCCAGATTTTTGGAAACAAATTACCTTCAACTCTTAGAACAAGAAAAAAAATATGATTTAAGAGGTAAAGCAGATATTGGCAAGATGATTCAGGTTATTGGAATGTAACAATCAAAGATGAACTGTGACAAAAAGGCAAGTTGAAGATTTGCATTTAAAATATCCACACTGGCTCAGAAATCCAAATGAATAAACTTTGCAATACCTCAGAGAGCATCTAGCTTAAAGTTAATTAGTTAAAGTAAAGCCTGCCCAACCCATAATAAAATACTGGGATGAGGGGGGAGGGGGGAGTTGGATGATTGAAAACTAAGCTATAGATTTTTTTCAAAGAAGCATTGAGTAGCTGTGATGGAAGACTTTACCTTAATTACCAATTTAGGGTAGACAAACTCTGTCAAATGGCGCTTCCTGAAAATGCTTAGCTTGTGTTGTTTCACAACTTGCCCCTTCAGGGTGACAGAAGCTGTCCTGCATATTAACCAATAACAAAAGCTTACTTGAAAAGGGGAAGTAACCTCAGGAGAAATGATCATCTAATTCTGTAGGCCTTGATTGTAAAGGAAACTTACACCAAAGGTAGCCTAATAACGTTTTTCGGATTCAAGAAAAATTATAAAAGTATCACAGTAATGGTGACTAGGATTCCACAGTAGAAACAGCAGTGGGAAAAAGGAATTCACAGTGAAGGCAAATTCCTAAAAAAAAAGTAGATCCTGAAAGTATAACAAGCAATTCCAGCAAATGGGGGGAAATGGACAAAATCAGACAATGTAGCTACACAATTGCCTACAGATAGTCCCTGACTTACAGCCACAATTGGAACCAGAATTTCTATTGCTAAGCAAGATTGTTAAGTGAGGATTCCCAATTTAATGAACCTTTTTGCCAGAGTTGTTAACTGCAGTTTTTAAATGAATCAGATTACAGTAACACGTTTCCATCATGAAAAAAATTATTTTATATCTGTGCCTGCTTGGCACATAGATTGGTCAGCTCCGAATGTCACTTGGTGACCTGTCATTTAGAATAGGATCATATAATCATTCTCAACTAAACAAGCCATTTCTATATCCCAGAACAGGATTGTTAGATTTGGGAGATTGAAATTATAATTTCAATTATGTAATGCAATTTCTTTGCCAGAATAGCAACAGCAATAAAAGGAATGTTGTGGTGTTGAGTTCAGCTCGACCACAATTAAACCTAGTTTCATTGCCCAGATGTTTAAATTAGCGAACTTCAGAATTATATATAAATTAAAATTGCACTGTGTTCATACAACATACTAACTCCTGCTTCACTAAATGAATTTATCTACCTAGGCTCAGACTAAGGATTTGTAACAAAGGGGCGAGAGGGAGAATTTGCATACAACTCTCAACAACAAACTATTGTAGTCAATCACATTTTAGCCTAGTATGTTGTACAAATCCAGTCTAGAAGTTTGGGTTGACACAAAACGTTGCAGCCACTCTTTCCGTTAACCATGTCTGTAATATTAAATATGTTCAAGTGCATACATTTGCATATTTTATCAGGCCAGCAGGCAAGATAAAAAGCATATACATATTATTCTTACCCTATAGGAAAAGTGTTTTGTTCCCAAATTATTACCTGTAAATATGATAGGAGAAATCCTCTTATGTTTGCTGAAGGTAGAAGATATTAAAGTAAAAGGGGAAATGGACAATTGGCTGCAAACACTGCTGCTGAAAAACAGTTTTGTTTGGTGTTTGCTTTTTATGTTCTCCTTTGTGGGGTTCATCTTAAACTCAGAATTGTCTTTCTTTGGGGTAAAAATGGTAAATAAATAATTTCATTACATGAAATTCTTTTCCCCAAATCTACCAGTAGTTCAAACAAGATAAGAATTACAACTACAAATACTTACAACTACAAGTTCTTTATTATAACATTGAAACATATAAATCAAATTAAAAAAAAAACAAGTTACAACATTGTTCAAAATACAACTTTAAAATATAGCTTGTTTACTTGTTACAAGGGAGGGGGAAGATCAATTACTATTTCATCCAGAGTGGCCAGAAAATCCTTAGTTGACTGCAAACAAGCTAAAAATAAACAAAAATAAAAGATTATAATATCTCGAGTCAGTTATATTCTCTGATTTAGCTCTAACTTTAAGTATTTTTCTAAAGTGACTAAAAAGTGTGTTTACTTAATCATTCTTAAAGTAGGTGTTATTGAATAATTCCTAAACAGTTGTTACCCTTTTTCTTTCTACTACCTCTAGCCCTTCCTAACCAGGTGCCTAGCCAATTACCTTAGGACTTCAGTTTGCAAAACTATTAACCCACATGACTAATAAATACCAGTAGCTAGTAAAACTAGAAATTATGGTTTCAGTATATCTTGAAGACCCCAGATTGAACAAGGCAGTTAAAGAAAAAACATCACAGCTGCTAGGTTTTCAGAATACAGTCTAACTACTTACCATAGTCCCATGAAATTAAAGGTTGTTTTGCAGGCAGAGGGATGCTGCTTGCAAATCTATCAGGCCCACTATCAAATGTCATAAGAGGAACTCCAGTCAAAGACATATGGCTCAGCCGGTGCTCTTCAGGAACATCAAAACTCTCAAAATCTATTAATGGAAAACAGTAGAACAAAATACAATGAAATGCAACTTGGTTAAAACCATGCTTAAATTTAGTCAATATAACACTTCTAACTTTTAATTAACTTTATTAACCTGGACCAAGAAGATTATATACTTCACTATATACAGGATGACATGCCAGTGGTATCACATCTTATTGTCCAGATGTTTATTTATGAAACTTGATTCTTCAATAATGAGTCTCCTGTTGCCAAAAAAGCTGAAGCTCTTTCCTTTTGGGGCATTACCTAGAGCCGTGATGGCAAACCTGTGGCACGCGTGCCACAGGTGGCACACGGAGCCATGTCGCCATGTCGCCTGGCACGCCAGCTCAGCTAGGGTGCGCATGCATGCGCCGGCCAGCTAATTTTTGGGCCTTCTGGGCCCATCAGAAGTAAGAAAACAGGCTGTTTCCTGCCTCCGGAGGGCCTGTGGGTGGGGTTGGGTGGGGAAGGCTGTTTTTGCCCTCCCCAGATGCATAGAGAGGATCTGGAACCAGGTGAGAGAGAAAAACAGGCCTACCGGGACATCACGTGCCAGGAGCGTGGGTAAGAGGTGTGTGCGGGGTGGGGCGCATAGAATTATGGGTGTGGGCATGCTCGCTTGCGAACCTCCCCCCCCACCCCTTCTTGGCACGCGATGGCAAAAAGGTTAGCCATAACTGACCTAGAGGATTATAAGAAAAAAGATTCTCCTTCTCTGGACATTCTTCAGGAACCATGCTGTTGTCTTCAATTCTGCTTGTATTTTCATTTACCTAAGTAAGAATAATAATAAAAAAGTTACAACACCCTCTCAAGACAAAGATTAGACATTGTAGCACATGAATATCTGGGGTATATAAGAGGCTGTTTTATTCCAAAGTTACTAGCCTAGGTTATTAGCCCACAATGCCCCATTATAGTCAAGATTCATACTGTAAGCAGCAGCTCCAATCTTCCAAGTAGAAGTTTTATTCCTCTACATCAGGGGTTCCCAACCTTTTCTATAACCTACACCCAGTGGTTGGTTGCTACCGGTTCTCCCCAGTTCAGACGAGCAGGTAGTGATGGAGGTGAGGTAAGAGCGAACCGGTTCCCTCCGATCGTCAGCTGGGCCCTCCAGCCCACCCCTGCGCTATACCTACCTATATTCATTCATTTTTAGCCCAGCTGATAGGCGCAGCAGAGCGGATTGCCGTGTCTCAGGTGTTGTGAAATGCAATGCGCTTGCACGAAGCAAATCGCACGCAAAGCACATGTGTGAAGTGAACCAGTGGTAACACCGGTTGAAACCTACCACTGCCTGCACCCCAAGAACACTTGATATATTCTCGCACCACTTAAAAAATAATTATTATATGCATATAATTATAATTATAATTATACATATACACTATAATTTTGAAACTTCTAAACCCAAGTTTTCACACTCCCTGCGAGCACCCCCAGTTCAGAACCAAGTCTACATGAAGATGCCAGAGATTAAATTCAGGACTCAAGTGCTTTTTTATCGAGTCACTTCACCTCCGGTGATCAAAGGCTAATAAAATGTATACAGAATTACTGTCCTTATCGAGAATTCCCTCACATTGCCTATGGGTGTAAACTACCCATTTCAAGTCTTAAATCACTGTTTAATGATGTGAAATAGTAGCAATTGCATTTAATATTGTTAGCAATAATTTATATGTTCATTAAAAATGAAATCTGACAGAGACCTGGTGCAGAACATGTTTGTTAGGATTAGTTAATCCCCAAATGATGATATGCAAAAGAAAGCATTCTGGCCCTCATTTCCTGGACCTAAAATGTATAAAACTGACACCTAGATAACTTTGTTATCAAAAAGTTAAGAGGGGGAAGAGCTGGTTAGGACATGGATAAGCAACTACCAAGAGTAGGCTATCAAAACATCAATAACAAAATAGCAAACTATTCCTATTTTGTTAAGAATAAACTATATGGATGTTCCTGAATAGTCATCAGGCATCTAGCCTGACCTGGAGACTTTGCATCAAAACAAAACCTTGCTTTTAATTAATTAATTTTAATTAGAAAAATTAGTTCTTTCTGCATTAGAAGAATGCACCAAGAAGAACTGATAAGGATAAAGTAATCTGAACATTGCAGAAATCTTTATTACTTGGAATATTTCCTTGGAAATCCCATAATACTATCCTGATTTGTTGAGTCTCTAAATTATAATTAGTTTAGAACCTACCTACATAGGGATCTCTGTTCTCCTATGCCTACTATAACTTTTGTTAGGCTTAATCCATCTTCTTGAATTGTAGGGCAAGCAATTTCTCTGACCAGATCATTCCTCTAAAATTGGTTTGTGCTTCCCTTCACACAATTCAGGTTACTAAAGCCCTTCCCCTCTTTTTAGTTTCAAATATCACCTTTGTCCTGGTCTATTTGTTTTATCTTTCCTTTCACCACCACCACCCCAAATTAATCATGTAGATATCAATTTCATTTCCCTTCCAATGGAATGGCATGGAAGCACTGTTGTATTGCTTTTCTGGCTGTCCATCAGCTTCCAAGATATTATTTCTTTCTTTTTTTGTGTAGCTGCTTGAATGCTATACATGGCAGATTAGGAGACACCTCTAAAGCTTTATGTTCAACTTCTATAAATTGGGATTCATGCTTTCTATTCATTCTTTGGTTTAAAATTATTCTAAGTTATTTAACACAAACACTGTTAGTTTCTTCTGTCTGAGCATCTCAATGGCATCCAACAGAAAATTAGCTTTACTAACCTTTTTCAACAAGAACTTTTTTCCTTTAGGGAACTGACTCTTTGCTAGAGGTCTGTTCAAACTTCCCAGAGCCTTCTTGACTGATTGAGATTCTGTTAGATTCACATTAGCTGTCCTTCCAACAAGAGGGGTTTTAGGATGAGACCTTTCTACAAACACTTTTGCTGTAGAGGGGAAAAGTCCTGTTATACAATGCAATTTAGGTCCTATATTCCAACATTTCTTTATTAAAGTAGGTTTTCTCTAATACAGGTTTAGCATCCCCAAAGGCACTAAAAGCATACAACTGAACAATTCAGAATAGGGCTATGGAGGAATCAGTACAACCACATTGGCCTTTATATCCATTAGATAATAATTTTAATAAAAATTGTTTGTCTAGTAAACTAAGACAATATCCTGCAGTTTAGTTCAGCTTTTTCCATTCACGACAGAATTCACACAGTGGTCCTTTCTACAAAGCAAAAAGATGGCCACTTTTCATTTCTCTTTCTTCCCAACCAACAAGAGTTACATCACCAAATTACACCTATAGTCTCAAGACTGGCTGTTTTGTCAGGCTTTCAATTATACAAAAGCCACATTGATATCATATTTAGGTAGCTATTCATCTTCCATCCTCTTAAAATAAGAAATCATTCTGATTAGACAGCATCCAAATCAATTAATATGTTGAGTGAGCCTTTTTAGAGACAGATTTTTTTTGCTCATTTAGACTACAGCTTTTTATATAAATGCAAACTCACAAGGTGCCAATAGTTGTTTTAGTCGATCCTTAGTAGCAGTAGTGGTGACAGTTTCTCCATTCTCTTTGTCTATGAAGATATGTGTTGCCATTTCTATGGCATCAAATGATTCCTAAAACAGATACTTACAATATTATAGCACATCTAAGTTTATTCTCTAAACCTCTCACATCAATACAAGACTGCAATTGTACTCTTCTCCTAGAACAGGGCGGTCAAATTCCCAGATGAGTCACATGCTGGCCATGCCCACGCCCGGTTTAGCGAAGGGGGAAAAAGTCCGGATAAGTCACATAACGCCACCATGACACCGTGAGTTTGACATCCCGGTCCTAGAATATTACATAGCTAGGGCAGCAACTTCTAGCTCAGAATCTTTCAGAACCAAGGCAGTTATCCTAGTTCAAACTGTCTTAAATTGACCCAGGTGAGAAGACTGTGAATTCCATACAAGATTCACCTGTTCTTTTTACAGAAAACATATTTTTGGCTTAAACAATTTGAAAATGTGACTTTATAATCATGTCTTCCCAATTTGGAAAAACAGAGTCTCCCATCTACTACTTGCAATATTATTATTATTATTATTAGTCATATTTCTATGCCGGAATATATATATATATATATATTCCTTGATTTGACAATGGAAACAAGTAAATAAATTATATTGTCTTAATTTCAACAGAGCTATAGAATTTGATTGGTCTGTAAAAATGCCATCTGTGGATAATTATGCCTCAGCAAATGGACTTAGCTGACTTTGGGCTCAAAACTAAGAAAAATCAGATCAAGTTTACACTAATATAAAAACTATCAGTATTGTTAGATAGGCTGAGATCTCAAAAGTAGACAGTTACAATCCACTTCCATTTTGGTTTCATAAACATTTTGATGAAGTAACTGGGCTTCAAGCTCATTAACAGGAGACTTATTTACACCAAATCAGGAGTTACAGTTGAATAAGTAAGATTCAAAATTTATAGGTTAGACTAATTATAGTACAGTATATAGCCATTAATTTGATCTCCAAATGCTACTTGTCTCAATTCATAGTTTTCCCAACATCTAGTATTCAAGGATCTAAAGTTTCTTATCATACTTTGAATTTAACACTTTGTAGGTTAAACAACTAGCCTTTTAATAAAAAACAGTTCTCCCTCATCCCCTAGTTTGGAATATCATGCCTCATGAAGTTCTAAACTGACATTTTTCTTAGTTCTACAACAAGGATATTATTCCATATGAATTTGTGATGTGCAGGTACTATAGAAGTCAGCATATCTTGCTTTCTGCTGCTACCTGTAAACAGAACTGAACCCTTTATTTTTCAATTATTTCAATTTAATACTCGTAAAGCCGGCATTTGTATGTTCGTTAATAGAGCTTCTTCCAGAATTAGTTTTATAAGGCTATCAAACAGAAAAATAGCATTGCGGTACAAGTCCAGTATACACGACTTTAAAACAAAAACAAGTTTCAGCAATTATGACAAAAGATAAGACCATCCCGCTTCTCCCTAAACTACGGCTTGCAGTTTTAATATTTCAACAGAGCTAGCTTTTAAAACCTAATACGTAGGAACAAACAGAAACGAAAATTAAACTGTCATGGGAAAAAAAGTTCTGCATCCATCATCCCCTTATCGATTCATTACCTTGGCAAATACTTTGGGTAAAACCTACAACACGGCTTTCTCTACCGGATTCTTTTAAATCATTAGCTTGCTTCCTGATTGGCTGTTGCGCTTCAGTTAAAACCACTGATTGGCTCCCTTTCTAAAACCAATGTTGGCGGGAGGGGGAGAAGTGGAGGCTACACTGCTTTGCCTTCAATCTCATTTGCAGGCAACGCGGGATATTTAAGAGCCGAGGATCGTGATGTCGATTTGTGAACTACGAAAGCGATACTGACTTGATCCCATAATCTTCAAGTTCGGGGGGGGAAGCGGGGGGAGGGAACTTCAAGCTCCGGGATAAATTTAATTTTTAAAAAATATATACATCAGAGGGATGGCTGTGTTAATCTATAGCAACATAATCAGCATGGGATCGTGGTATTTTACTGTGATGCTATGAACATCTAAATCAGATCAAACTCCCATGAAACTCACTGGGAATTGCCAAGTAAGTTTAGCTAGTAGTGCCCGATTAATTTTATCTGGGTTGGGAAGGCAAGGAGGGTTGGCGGTGGCTAAGACTTTGATAGGAGACTGCCGTCCTGGGGATACCACGACCGTCCGCTACACTGGTCGAGAAAGTCCCGGAAGAAAATAATACAACCACTTCTAAATCGTTGCCAAGATAACGGTATTTATTTATTTTATTTATTTATTTAATAAAATGTATATGCCGCCCTATCTCCGAGGACTCAGGGCGGCTCACAACAATAAAACGGGTATGCTGCCCCTATCAATCATATTAATGATTGATTGCATTAGTCCTATGTTATGATTCCGTGCCAACAAATTAAGTGTTGTACCTTATGATTCTTGACGAATGTATCTTTTATGTACACTGAGAGCATATGCCCCAAGACAAATTCCTTGTGTGTCCAATCACACTTGGCCAATAAAGAATTCTATTCAAGTCATCATGTCTAGCAACTACATCGCTAAGAGTTTCTCCGTGAAGAAATAAAAACCTTTGTAAATTACACGTTTCACCTTGTCACATTTTTCTTTTTTCTTTTAAACAAGGCAAAGATCCATGGATACTTAGACCATAATAAATAATAGATCCTATCGCAGCAACATTAAGATTCTAGTAGCGGCTGGTATGAAAGAAAACGCATTTCCACCAAGTCTTGGGTTTCACATCCTCGGAGCTTTATAAATGTAACAAAATTTATTTGGGAATAAACTCCCACCGACATTTGAAAGACCGACTCTGAAGAGCTTTAAGCTTAGGTCCGCAAAAAAGGGTTACTGAAAGCCAAAGCCCGGGAATGAGGATGTCATTGGGAGAAAGCGGAGGGTTTTTTAAACTAAGAGTGCGGCTCCTTTAAGGGGTAGCAAGAAGGCGACCGCGCTGCATTGTGGGAAGCGGAAAGACACCGGAAGTGAGAGCGTCGTAGGCCCTGTGGCGTAGGAAGGCTGCTCTGAGGCTTGGGTGAGTGGCGGGTGTTCTCCTTTGGGTCGGTGAGACTTATCGGGGCTGATTAGCTTTTTCCCGGGTGAAACCTACAACAGGTGTGTATTGTACACGTGGAACTTAATCCGGGTTAAATTACTTCGTAGGTAGTTAAATTCCGGGTCTCTTCGTTTAATGAGACACGGGAAGTTCAGAAGTCTCCTTTTTTAAGTTTCATAAAACGGGAGTGCATTCCAGTTATGCCTCTTCTTCTGCTGCTGCCGCTGCTGCTGCTAAACTCAAGGCAACTAAAGCTGGCCGGGAGCTTGGATTATCGGTTTCATAGTCCTGGTGTTATTGGGCAGGTCGACTGGGGCTGATGGGAGTTAAGAGTCCAAAACGCTTGGAGCCGACTAGGGCAGGGGTCTCCAACCTTGGCAACTTTAAGGTTGGCGGACTTCAACTCCCAATTCTGGCTTAAAGTTCCCAAGGTGGAGACCCCTGGACTAGGGTCTACCCCAATTTAGCAAAGCAGTATATTAACTAATTGAACTTTCTGGAAGGTATGTATCAAAGGGAATGCTTTCAATGATACTTTACACGGTATGTGCAAATGTACTTTAGAATTTATATGGCTATCTGTCTCACACACTGATCCTAGACTATTCACAACCACCAACAAAAACCAGAGTAACAACAGAACAACCCTTCCCCATCAGATGCCACGGTAACGGCACCATTAATTTCCTGACTCAACCCGCATCCAAGCCCAGTGTTTGGTGTAAGAGCCAAATGGTCTTCATAGCCTTCTGGAAGGCTAAAAGCCTTCCAATGGTCAGGACCAGCTGTAGAGAAGGAGTGTCTCCAAAGCCCCAACAGATGACAGCCTTTAAAGGAAGGGAACTGGAACTCACCCAGGTCAGATTATGGGATGGCATATGCCCTCGGAGAGAGGCAGTCCCATAAGTAACTCACCCTGTGCCATGTATTTCTTTAAAGGTAATAAGCAGCACCTATAAAGCAACTGGGAGCCAGTCCAGTTCACACTGTGACAGTCACATTATAACCTGGGGGAAGCACAGGGCACCCATTCTGGACTAGTTGCAGTGAAGGATCCCCAAATTGCACAACAGTTCTGTCTGGAGGGGGAGGTTACCTTGTCCAAACAACAGAGGACAATGACCCACAAACATTGTGTCTTGGTAGAGTTGACTTAGACAATTTCTACCCAGCCATGCCCATAGAGCATCCCAGGGCTGACCAAACTCCTGAACAGTATAACCTACCTAGCATAGGTAGAGATGTATGATTGGATATAATCAGCACCCACAATGGGTATAACGAGCCCACAATTGGGACGTAAGTTGTGATGGTCATAAAGCAGGTCACAATATGCCCATACCCAGTTTTATGATCTGTTTTGTGGCAGTTGTAAAACAAACGTCATGGTCATTAAGTGAACCCATTGATCACTATAGAGTGGTTTTTGCCAGAATCTGGAATAAACACTAGTTTCAGTCATGTCATTGCAGGGTGCTGCATAAATACAAACTGGTTGCTAATGTCCCAGATGTGGTCATGTGACTGGACACGGGGGTTGTCACAAGACATCAGAACTTTGAATTCGGATTGTAAGTTCCATTTTTGTGATAAGTTGAAAATGCCTGTACAAATGATGGCAAAATCCATACCATTAAAGTTCATATTCCCATATTCCCATTATATATAGGTTTGTAAAAAAAAAGTTTGTAATATGTCCAGAAGGCAAAGAAAAATGGAAGATATTTTTAAATAATAAAAATGGCAATAAAATATCATAAATTAAAAGTCTTGACTGAACTCATAAAATTGGTATAAAATTATAATAAGAAAACACTTAAGTATTTGAATGATGCACTAGTTCTCACAACTAAAAATAGCATGAAAGCTCAGTTCTTGATCCATGGATTGCTGTCAAAGAAAAAAAATGGTCTTCTACACACATCCACATCTTGGTACCCATGGGAGAGAATTTGCTTTTCAGGCTAGATTAATTAATCAAAAATGGTAAGGACTTTTTTAGCATTTATTAAAATAATTTGAAAAACTAAAAACAATTAAAATAGTTTGAAAACCTATTAACAAATACAAACATGTATTTGTTAATAGGCCAAAGAACAGAATCTGGGAGCATGGAAACTATAGCTGCTAATCCTCCTGGAGGATCAAATGGCTTGGAAGAACCGAAGAAGATGACGAGAGAAGATTGGAGAAAGAAGAAGGAATTGGAAGAACAACGAAAACTGGGAAATGCACCAGCTGAAGTCGATGAAGAAGGAAAGTAAGTATTGTTTAATACAACTGAACCAATATAACTTTCTTTAGTTTTTTTAGCATATTATAACAAAACTAAGTGTGGGACTTCTTCTGAAAGATTAGTAGATATTGATCTCAATTATGAAGTTAATTGATTTCCATCTTTGATCTATGCTGCATTCTCCTAACCTTTTCTAGACTAGGGCAGGCAATTGGGAGTACTTAAATTTGGAATGTCAAATCTAATGTGGCTAGAATCAAAAGAGATTACAATACATTCTCTAGTTCAGAATTTTAAAAATCTTGGAACTCCAAGAGTATTGTAGACACTTCTGGTTCTATTAGGTTAGGACCAAGACCCCATTGATTTAAGTGGGAGGAGTCTTAGTCCTAACCTAATAATAAGACAGCATTTTGGTATTGGCATTGAGGATCTTAGTCTTGGCCAGAATGCTCTCTTGGTTTCTTTGCCAGTCACTGAGAGACAAAGAACAGGAAAGCCAATCAGAGACAGAATCCGTGTACAGAAAGCTTGTGATAATGTAAGTGAAGGTATTTTATTATGTATAAGGTGTCTTGTTGAGCCACATGAGCATCTGTGAAAATCTTGCTCCATCCCCCATATCATACAAATAAAGTTCCAGTTAAGATCTTAAAAGTATGGTATAATAGAAGTGGTTCCTGAATTTTTAAAAAATATTGGAAAATAAGTGCCGTGTTCAGTGATTCCTACATAATGACTGGAGCCTAAATTCTCATCTAATTGTAACATTACTTATTACAGAGACATCAATCCTCATATTCCCCAGTATATTTCCTCAGTACCATGGTACATAGATCCTTCAAAAAGGCCTACACTGAAACATCAGAGACCTCAACCAGAGAAACAAGAAGAATTTACAACACTAGGAGAATGGTATAAGCGAGGAGTTAAAGAAGTAGGTATCTATATGTAAAAGTGATACTGTTGTGCAAGACTATTAATAAACGTTAGCGAATTTGTTGGACTTTTTTATTATGACTGGTCTTCAAAAAGTCAAATTCAGTGATGGTGAATTTATATTCAAATGTGAAGGGGCATAGCTTGTTTGCTATTTTTGGCTAAAAATTCCCTGCAATAAGCATTTCAGAGTAATTTATATAGTTAGATAATTTCTTTGTAAAGTTAGAATGGGGCTGCCATATTCTATATTCTCATATAGGAGAAAATAAACTAAATACTCTATTGCTACAAATGACTTCGTATTTCTTTTTGTCTTTAGAATGCCTTTGCAACCAAATATCGTAAAGGTGCTTGTGAGAACTGTGGTGCATTGACCCATAAGAAGAAAGATTGCCTAGAGGTAAATAACATTCCATAAAA